AGGGCCGAAGGGCCTGTACTGCGCTGTAATGTTCTATGTTCTATGTTGAATGTTTTGTATCATTTATGTCCTTCATTGTAAGGGACAGAGGCACTAGTATTTGTTCCAAGGCTAAGTCTTCAGAGCAAGCAAGGTACCAAAGTTTGTAGTTCCGTACCTTGAGAACTTTGCAAACGGAGATGAGGTAGTTCAGCCTGCTCCTATGTTTTACATACGTAATAGGTTTACAGTATTGGCAAAGATCTGTAGCTCAAATTGTGGATGAGGTTGTTGACTTGCTCACCAAGCTGGCTTGTTTTCGTTCAGACCTTTCGTCACCATGCTAGGTGACAGTATCTAAACTCAACAGACCAGCAATGGACTACAACCCTAGAACAGGCCATCACCATCAATCAACACAAAACCAAAACTAAGAAGAGACACGAGCTACGGGAGAAACTTACCAAACTGATCCACCACAAAAACAAGGACAACAACAAACCGGACACATGGATAAGAAACCTATCTAACAGACAACTCTCAGAAACTGAGAAAGATATGCTACTGCGCAGTCTGAACTATAACCACAAAGATGCGAACAGAACAGACTTCATGGCCGTTCTGGAGAATACATTAAAAGACAACAAACTCATGGATGAAACGCAACAAGCTACCTGACAAACTATAATCCCCACACTACACAGAAGGAACAAAGGGGACAACCTGACACAGCAGAGAGAAAAGCACTAGACAAACTCGGGAAAGACAAGAACATCATAATCCTACCAGCAAACAAAGGGCACATGACCGTCATTATGAACAAACCAGGCTATGTTAAGAAAGCACAGACATTGCTTGCAGATACAACTACTTACCAATAGGTGGTGATAGACCCAACACTGCAGCTCGGTCATAGGATCACCCAGACGTTGAAGTGACTAATGAATGCAGGGCAGATAACTAAGACAGACTTCATGAGAATGAAACCAGAGGCACAAACCCCCCCCCCCCCCCCCCCGGCCCTGTTTCTGTGGGCTACCTAAAGTACATAAACCAGACATCCCTCTCAGACCCATTGTCTCCCTACCAGGCACACCTTCACACAACCTGGCCAAGGACCTACAACAGAGATTGAAACACCTAGTAGATGGATCACCTCATTCTATCCACTCAACCCAAGATTTCCTCAATACCCTCAAGAACGTAAAAATCAGCAACAACGAGGTTATGATATCCTGCGACGTCACAGCTTTATTCACATCAATTGACATCCCACTAGCCAAAGAAATAGTGGCCGCGTTATTAGAGGAAACAGCAATGCAGACCAGCAACTCCATCAGCAAGGACAACATACTTAAATTACTAGACCTCTGCCTCACCACACACTTCGTCTTTAATGGTCAAATATACAAATAGATCCACGGTACACCAATGGGGTCACCCATCTCAGGACTCATTGCAGAAGCAGTCATGCAAAGACTAGAACATACCACTCTTCCCCCACATTCAACCTAAACTGTGGATCCAGTACATAGACGACATATTTGTCATTATTAAATGCAACAAGTTAGCAGAGACCCACCACCTCATCAGCGTATTCACAGGGATTAAATTCACAAAGGAAGAAGAAACCAACAATCAACTTCCATTTCTGGACGTTAAGGTAGAATGCTTACAAACAGGGCATTCCAAATCTCAGTATACAGAAAAGCAACCCATACAGATCAAATCCTCAACTTCCACAACAGCCACCCCAACATCCACAAACAAAGCTGCATAAAGACACGACTTAAATGGGCCAGGACACACTGCAACACTCCAGAATTACGTTGGGAAGAAGAAGAACACTTATACAAGGTCCTCGCCTTAAACGGATATCCCTGCAACTTCATCCACAGGTACCTACATAACAGACAACAACAGGAGGACACAGTACGACCTAACACACTTCCCACACTTCCCTACATCAAGAACATATTGGAACTGACAAGTTTCCTGAGACCACTAGGAATCATGGTGGCCCACAAGCCCACAGCCACTCTACGACTAACACTGACAAGGATTAAAGACCTCATTCCCACAACATGCAGAGCGTGTTTACAAAATACCATGCAACGACTGCCACAAACATTACATTGGACAGACAGGAAGGAAACTAGCTATCAGAATACATGAACATCGGCTAGCAGCAAAACGGCACAATGAACGCTCCTTAATATCTGTACATTCAGGCAATGAAGGGCATCAGTTTAACTGGGACAAAATAACCATAGTAGCCCAAGCCAAACATAGACACGCACAGGAATTCCTAGAGGTATGGTTCTCCACCCATACTTCAATCAACAAACATATAGAATTGGACCCCATATATAAACCCATACAGATCAAAACCTGAAATGACAGTACTCAACATAATGGACCGAACAGTATAAATTGCAATCTGAGTAGAATAACATCGCTTCATCAGAGACTCCACTGATGATGTCACCTAACATGGTGACAAAACATCTGAACAAAAACAAGCCAGCTTGGTGAGCAAACACATAATGAGGTAGCACATTCTTTACAGATACACAAATGCTTCTAGATTATCTGACATAAGTGTTCCATCTTCATTTTGAAGAAAGAAGCAAGATACTTCAGCAGTTCTCTTCTCAAAGGTAGTTTCCACCCACCGTGCCCAATCTCTGCCATGGCCAAGGCAAGAAAACAGGCCTGAATCTCCACCACCACCACCACAACCACAACAACAACAACACCAACAACAAAGTTGCTGGAAAAGCTCAGCAGGTCTGGCAGCATCTTTGAAGGAGAAAACAGTCAACATTACGGGTCTGGTGACCCTTCCTCAGAACTGAATCTCCTCCAGTTAGATTGGCACCAATCCAATCTCCAATGTAATGGGTTCAATGAACAATAGTAGCCTAGTTCATTGAGCCAGCTGGCCTCCCAAGGAGTCTTCAGTTGCTGTGGCAATGTGTACTTTTACGTAAAATTTGTAATTTGGAGCTTTGAATACCTAGGATAGAGGCTCTGATTTCGACCCTGCAATCAAGTGGTTGACCAGGAATTTCTTTTGCTGTCACCACCTGCCATTGTCCTATGCGGAGTATTTTCAGATTGTTACCTAACCTATTTGGCTGTGTTATGAATACATCTTCTTTGGCCATCAACCCTAGACGTGGGACTTGAACCCATGGCCTATGATAAATATTTTGATATCTGTTTTATTGTACACTTGTGGCATAATTTATAATTCAGATAAGAGATCTGTGAAGTTTTAATCTTTTTAAAATATCTTTTGGACCCAAAAGATAAATATTATAGGCTATTGTATCGGTTATGGAGAAAAGACAGGAAAGTGGGGTTGAGGATTGTCAGATCAGCCATGATCTCACTGAATGGTGTAGTGGATTTGAAGTGTCAAATGTCCTACTTCTGCTCCTACATCTTGTGGTCTTGTGTTACTATATTCCTTCTTAATTCTAAACTATACTGTTGATTCTGCCTTTCACAGAAGAGCTGGTCATTCTTTTAGTTGGTAGTGTTTTTTGCTTAACAATTAATGTTTTAATGATATAATTGTACAATCAAGGAAACATTCCAAAGTGTCTCAAACTATGCTGGTTTCTGTTTTAGGTGACAATGACAATACTAGACCAAGGGATCTTGATTTTATGACATCAACCCCTACGGAACCTTTGGCATTGAAAACCCCTCCTCGTGTGCTCACTTTGAGCGAGCAACCTTTAGATTTCTTGGATCCTGAGCGACCTGTAGCTTCAACACAAAGTGATGAGGTAATGATTCAAGTATGATCTATGCGCACCCTAATTCTTGTGCCTCTCTAACATAGAACAATGAAAAATTAATGTAACAGGACTATGCTTCAACAAAATGTATAACACTATTGTTGCATGTTTCTTTTGTCGTAAGTAATAAGTAAGTATATATTAGCATACATGCTATTAATTGGTTCACTCTGCAGAGTAGATGGTAATGGTTCAGTAATGATAGTCAGATATCGCTGATGAGAAGGCCACTATCTGGGGTATGGTGTGGTGTTGATCGGTGTTTTTGGTCTCCCTGTGGGTCTTGTAAAACAGTATGATGAATGAGATAAGTCTAGGGTTCAAAAATTAGACACGCTTGTTATTAATTTGAGTATGTTTGACAATAGCTGAGTTGTTTAATTCATTGTATTTGAAGCAGGTTTGATGTCTCTTCAATCTAGTAAGTAGGCAAGTCAGCATTATTAGTTTGTGAGGTAGTTTCTTGTCTTTTGTGGTTAAAATAGATGGAATGAAGTTTCTTTGATAATTTGTATCAGACTTCTCTGTCAGCTGACTTATATATAGGTTGCAGTCTGCAAGACAAAAACCAATGTACTGAAAGCTGACTCTTGACTTAATGGAAGTAGTTTGTTATAAGAGCAAGTAATAGGTAAGCATATGTTTTGTGTAAAGGGAATTCATTGAGTTAAAATTAAATAAAGTTAAATCGGCAAAGTTCTTGATATAAATGTTTCTTGTCACTGAGAGTAGGTTCTTCCAATAAGGGTGTTGGAAACTGTAGAAGGGGAAGAAGGATGATGGAAAGATTGGTAATTTAGGTTTCTGCCAGTGTGATGAGGCTTATTGTGGATTTAATGTATTGGTATGCCACTGTAAGACTTTGCGATGAAAGTATTAAGAAATGGTACGGAAAGTTGTTGATATCTAAATGTTTTATTGAGTTGTTGTTTGCTTCTAAAATGTTTAGAGGTAAATGCTCACAATAAAAATAAAAGAACTTTGACAACTCAGCTAAATTTAATGTAACCTGTGGAGATGTAGTTATTCCTTGTCACACTTCAGTTATCTGCAGTGGATGTAAATCAGTACACTTTGAGTGTAAAAAAGTGATAAAGGGATTGGCTTTGTGATATGACATAATGGAATGTTAAGCAAAATGTGTTCTTCTGTCACAGGACCATAAAGCAAAAAGCAAGTTTATTCGGATTATCAACCCCACTCTTACGTACACTACAAATATATTGCTTGTCATGGAATACGTTCTGCTCACTTTTTTTTTGAATGAACTTTATGCTTAATTACTTCAAATCTCAAAACACTTATGTGGAAGTCCAGAACAGTTGACCATGAGCCAACATATCCTTTGGAGAACTTGATCGTTTTGTTCCCCACTTAATCCTGTAAATGTCTGTCACAATTTACCATCTAATGTTTTCTTCATTTGTTTTAAGTACTTCCACCTTCTAATATTATAGTAGCACCAGGCAAGGTTTGTATGAGTAGTTTTCTTTTTAAATGTGCTTATGCTAGAAACCTTTCCAGTAATGTATAGAAAATGTATGATTCTCTATGCTGGTTCAGAAATATATTGTCTCGTTTTAATATTGAGATCTGTTTAGAAGCTTATCCAAAATTTTAGTGACTGCTAATAAAGTCTAAGTTTTACAAAAATACATTTCATTATTGGGCAACGCAAAGGGATTAGATGCAGCAGGAAAAAAGGGAGAAACTGAAGTGACGATTGTGGAAGGAGCTGATTTGATCCACGTGCTACTTAAGGGGAAAGGTTAGATGTTGAAAGCTTCCTTTGAAAGAACGCAATTGTTGAATAATGCTGTGTTTTTGGAAATCATTTAAACAAATCTGTCTGCTAACTTGAATATGTTCTTTTCAGTTTCGTTCACATAGTCGTGTGCGGAGGGAGCGTTCAATGAGCGAAAATGCTACCCGACAGAATGGGCAACTTGTAAGAACAGAGTCTATGTAAGTAGACCTTGGGCAATATTTCAGTTCAATTGAAAGCTCCAGTAATCTTTTTGTATCTTTCTTTAATGATGCTCTTTTGTTCTTTGGCATACTCTTTCTCCAACACATAACAGGGTAAGTTATGTTGTAGATCATGTGTCATGATATTCGTTGTTTAACTCCTTTTAAATATGTCCAGTTTAGTATGTAATAATCCAGGACTTGGTTGTTATCCACTTCTGAGATTTGTTTACGCAAATAAATTGCCAGAAAGTATTTCATTGCTCTTGAGCACATATTCCTCTTGATGAAGTCCTTTGGCCTACAGTAAATTAAGTTTTGTGTTAGAATATACATTTCAGTGGCCTTGATCAAAGATCATTGTATTACCATTATCTCCCAACAAGAGGAATTGTTTCCTTTTATCCTTTGATTCAGCAAACGGGAAGCTGAACACTAAGTTAGATTTGAAACATTTGTGATAAATAACTATATAATTAAACGAATTTAAACAAAATGTTCTGTTTGATTTACTGTACTTCAACCAGAGACTATTGCGGTTAATCTTGATTGAAGCAGATTTAACAATTAATTATTGTGTTGCCTGTCATTTTTCTCCACTCCATTGTTTCATTGCAATGGAGTAATCATTTTAGTTCTTTTTAAAATAAATTTCAGAAAAAGTGATTTGTAGTAATCATTCTGTACCATAGAGTGAACTTAAAAGATGACTGTTAATGGAAGAATCTAAGCTGGTGGTTTTGTAGCTGGATTGGTTATCCCTGTGTAGCCATCAAGTTGAAAGACCAAAGAATCTTAATTCACCCTTTGCTGACCTGAAATTGTGCACAATGCACAACATTTGGGGATGTAACATGCCACACATACTTATTGCAAAAGATGTTTTAAACTGTAATTAAATGAAGAAGGTGGCACTCCTGGAACACAATGACTTATAGCAAATATGAGAACAAGCAGGAGCATTGATTTGCATGCTTCATAATTTTAATTAACAATGCAAGGCTGCATTTATTTCAAGGGCCTGACAGTCTGGTGGGGAAATGTTAATTGCATTTAAATGATGAACTTAATGTTTTAATGCATGTATAAAACCAGGCAGCACACTGACCAGAGACACAAAAAAACTGCAGATGCTGGAATCCAAGGTAGACAAACAGGAGGCTGGAAGACCACTGCAAGCTAGACAGCATCTGGAGGAAAGGAGAAGTCAGCATTTCGGGTATTACCCTTCTTCAGAACTGGATGTGTGTGTGTAGGGGAAGCTGCAGATAAAGTGGGATGGGGAGGGTGGTAGCAGAATGGTGGTGATGGGTGGACACTGGTAGTAGGTGCGACCTGGTTGGTCGATGGGAGGGACGAATCCGGTTGGTAGCTGGATTAGGCCTCGTTATAGAAGAAAATATGCAATCCAATTTGATTTTACAACAGTTAATTACATTTCAGGATTGTATTAGGGTACATAAATATTAATCTGAATTGCATTATTTAGAAATATTGAACTATTAATTTCATCTTGAGTTCATATCAAGTGACAGGCTGGTTAAAACCACTTCTAAAATTTTATTTCAAAACTGGCTGCAAGCTATACCTCATCATATTTATAGGCATCTCTATCACCTTTATACACTCGAAAAAGCCAGGTTTATCTTTTCTTGTATTTTTATTGGTTACTTGAATCCAAAAATTGTTTTAAGAAGTTCTGAATAAGAAATTTATTATCACTATTATTATTTACGGAAGTAAAGCTCATCTGGAATGTGGGCAACTTGATGTCCAGAACTTGGATCTTTAATAACCATTCATCTTGTATTTAAATTCAATAGATTTGTTGGAAATGAATGAAACAAAATTGAATCCAGGAATGGAAGAAGCCACAATGAAAGTTTAAACCTAAAGGCGTTATCTCAGTTTTACTACAAAATCATTTTGTATTTGAAAACTTCCAAAGAATCTAATGTCAGCACTTTTGTTTGAGAGGAAGTATACGCAGTTTATTTGACAAACCACTTTCTTTGCTTTCTTAATATTTCAAAGAGGAAGAGTAATTGAGTAAACTTTGGATTCTGTGGCCATGAGTTGCTTTCCCACTCACTGACCTTCTGCAGTGGCAACTTCCATTTAACACCTGACAGAATTTTAAATGGTGACTGAACCATTGGGTTTCTGGCTGATTTAATTTTTTCAATTTTTTTAAATGGGATGACTGTGTCCCTGGCCAGACCAGCATTTGTTTTCAATCCATAATGCCTATTGAATTGAATAGCTTACTCACCAGTTGAGGTTGAACCACATTGCTGTGGGTAAGGACAGCAAATTCCTTTCCCTAAAAGACAAATGAACGGATGGGTTTTTATGACAATTGTTGATAGTTTCATGTTCATCATTGCTGATCTCAGATTCATTAATTGAATTTAAATTCTGCCAGCTGGCATGGTATGATTTGACCCAATGGATTACTAATTACCACTGCACAGGACCACTATCCCAGTTTCTCCCCATAAGCATGCTGTTCCTTTTGCAAGAGGGTGATGGATGGGTAAAGTGCAAGTTTGAGAGATCCTGGTAGAGTGACACAGCTCTTCCATTTACCCGTCAGTGTATCAGATGATGTTGACCCTTTGTTTATTCAAAATATATTATGCATGTGCATTACTGGCTTCTCAAATAAAGCAAGTCTATATGCAAGGTGCGTGAGTGAATATGTATGTGATTGCAAGAAGACCCTGATTATTTTCATAGAATCCCTACAGCGTGGAAACACGCCCTTCGGCCCGACAAGTCCACACCGACCCTCGGAGCATCCCACCCAGACCCATTCCCCTATAACCCACCTAATCTACACATCCCTGAACACTATGGGCAATTTAGCCTGAACAATTTAGCCTGAACATCTTTGGACTGTGGGAGGAAACCCACGCAGACACAGGGAGAACGTGCAAACTCCACACAGACAGTCACCCAAGGGTGGAATCAAACCCAGGTTCCTCAGAATTCGGTAATTTGGTGATGTAATATTCTATCTTTTTAACCCCAATCAAAGGTGCTTTGTAAAGCACTTCTTGCTAGTGTAATAGAGCAGTTCTAGGTCACCTGTTCAATTTACTATTTGTTCCTTCCATCTCTGGGGATTTGACTATATTGCACTTGCTTGGCTTTATTAGGGATTTGGGATGCACACTTGAGTTTAGAATACTTCTTTCCATTTTGTTCTGCTTCCATTCAAAGATTTGAATTCAAATCCTCCAATTCAGCAACCAAAAGCTTCCAGGATGTGATGCTTCTATTCAATTTTGGCAGGACCACGTCTTTGCTTCTGAAGGCTAGGGGCTTCTGTTTCCATACTTAAGCCCAAATAGTTCACCCATTGGGTGAAAGTTTGGGAGCTAACCAGCATAGAAGCAGAATCCCATGGTTGTAACCTTGACCTCAAGCCCATTCACTATCTTACCGAGCTCTGTATGGCTGTGGCTGGTTATGGTTCACCACATTGCAGAAACATAAAAATTTTGAATGTAAAGTCTGGAATTTTTAATGTTAGACACCAGATTGAATGTTCACTGGCACGTCAAAAAAATCGGGTTGAGGTGGGGATCATCTTTACCAAAAATAGTATTTTGCTAATTTTTAAAATTCAGATTCTTTAAATATTCTGAAACTTTTTGATTCATTTCACTGATACTTTGGTACCACAGAGAGTAGCTTACTGAAATATTACTTCTGTGGATTGTTTAAGAGTACAGTGTTGCCATTGACAAGGTAGTTGAACCTTCTGTATTGTTCATTGTATTCAGTGTACATGATGGAAGTAACATAAGCCAAGAGGATCCCTTGGAGTACTTCTATAGCGTAGTATTAGCACTGATGCAAGAAGAAACGGGTAACAGACCGAGATGTGTCATTGAAATGCTGTTTACTTCAGATCTGAATATTTGTCTTTTAAGTTAAATACACATTATGTACTTGATAGCTAGGAGTAGTTGAATGGAAAGAAAAGAAAATACTGTTCTGGGTGAAGTATACTTCATGGGGATCCCCTTGACTACTGTTCCTCCTGTTTATCTGCTTTCCATTCCAAATTTTCCAAAGGAAATTGAGATCCATACTTTGCTAATATTTTGTGTTTTTTTTTTAAATATGAGCAAATCACATGAAGGTGCACCATCAATGCTGTCATCTTTAAAGTGAACTATCTTCAGAGCCTGGAAGTAACTAGAGACTGGTGCTCTACAATATCACTTATATGAATCGCACTGTCTGTTATTTGTACTTCTGTCTGAATTTGATTTCCATGTTTTTCTCTTACACTGTTGTATGCATATGGACAGAGTGACACCAACTCCCCAACCTCAGCTTGAACCTCGTCTTTATCCTCCACTCATCTCCTCTGAAGATGGACCAAACGCATACTCTCCTCATGGCATTTTGTCAATAATCCACTCCACCACCCGTAGGGCCTACCAGCAAGTCTTGGACATGCTAGATGAAAATCGCAGAAGGTGATTGGCTGTTGGAATTCAATTGCGTTGTGTTATAATACAGTAGAAGATGCTAATTTCTTGTCATAGGCATTACTTCACTGTAATGTATACATTTAGAAGCTGTGGCTTAAGTCTGATTTCCATATTCTAATAGTAAAATATGGGTCTAAACTTCACTATTAGTGATTGGTCGTGGAGTATACATTCATTTCTGCATTTTCCTTACACCATGAGTTTGTATGCTCCATCTAGCTGTCAATGGGAAAAGTATAGGACTGGGTTACTTTGGTAGAAAAGTGGAACTGCCCTATCTGCTGGAAGTCATAAGTCCCCAGTGAATTGGCAGCAAACAGACTCTGTCCATGTAACAGAACTAGAGTTTTTTTAACTTGAGTAACTGACCATGCAGATTATAGTTGTTCCAATTTCAATTTGTAGTGTAATGCACCAAAATGGAAATGTATGTAAAAGGAGCAGCTGGTGCATTGGTATATTCAAATTTCAATCTAATCCTCCACCTTTTCCTATCTACAAAACTACACGCACTCCTAGAAAAAAACAAGAAAACAAGTGGAGCAGGGTGGTTTTGGGGGATGAGGTGAGGAGATGCAAATGTTGACATTGAAAAAAAAGTTAGGGAAATTAGTCACAAATCCTTGATGGCAATTACACAAGCTTCAGAATACCACAATTTATGGACCTATCTCTTAAAGCTTCAAATGTCTTCCACTGACCGGAAGATCTCCAGAAACCTTTTGAAAACTTGGTTACTAATAGTTGGTCTCAACATACCTGGGGTAACATAGGAGAATTCAGTCAGGGTTTTTCCATGTGCAGTGATTCTTAATAAAGGTATCCACGTGTGTGATGTTGGGTGAGACAAGGTTGTATTTGTTTATGAATTCCCCTAATCTCTTTTCACCCTGTCCCTGGTGATCAAATAGTTACTTGCATAACTATTGTCCTGGTGGGTGAATTATTAAAAGGAGACCCACGCCTTTGATACATGATCAGTAAATCAACTCTTCAAAGGAAAAAGGGTGGATGAAAAAAAATTGATGTTCATATTAGAAATGACGGCCTCAATTAGCCCAACATTTATCTGTGGAGAGCTGATAGTGAAGATTTTGCTACCTCTAGATGAGTCACATCTTGTCTTTTCTTCAGTACACTCTACCTCGGCTTGTACTGTGTTTTGTAAAAGAGTGTTTGTAACTTCATAACAATGTGCCAAAAATATAGCTTTTCTTCTTCCTAGCTGATTTGTTCCTGGTACCTTTGGTTTTGTTTTGCTCTTCACAGTATTGTTACGTGGTGCTCAATGTTTTTCGAACATGACGTGGCATTTATTGCTCATCCGTATTTGCCCTTGAGGTGGTGATGAGTCACCTCCTTGAACTGCAGTTTGGTAGATGAAGATATTCCCACAACATTATTCAGTATAAATTTGAGGATTTTGATTCAGCAGCCATGTGGCAATGCAGTGTGTAGCTTGGAGAGGAGCTTTGAAATGGTGGTCCAGTATCCTGCTGCTCTTGTCCTTTTGAGTGTTTGTTTTTGGGTAGTGATGTCAGAAACATAGGTGAGTCGCTGCAGTGAATCTTTTCTGATTAAATATCAAGAACCAGACCGATGTCCTTGGAGAAAATCCAATCCTGTCTAAAGCAAATTATATGGTTGGAATAATTTCCATCAAATAGTAGGCTTGAAGATGAGTTTTTACTATAATTCAGCAGTTACAGAGTCATAGAGATGTACAACATCAGTCCAACTTGTCCATGCTGACCAGATATCTTAAATTAATCTACTCCCATTTGCCAGCATTTGTCCCACACCCCTCTAAACCCTTCCCATTCATTTTCCCATCCAGATGCCTTTTAAATGTTGTAACTGTACCAGCCTCCACCACTTCCTCCGGCAGTTCATTCCATACACGCACCACCCTCTGTGTGAAATAGTTGCCTCTTAGATCCCATTTAAATCTTTCCCGTCTCACCTTAAACCAATGCCCTCTAGTTTTGGACTCTCTACCCTGGGGAATAGGCCTTGACTATTCACCCTATCCGTGACCCTCATGATTTTATAAAGCTCTATAAGGTCACCCCTCTGCCTTCGTCGCTCCAGGGAAAATAGTCCCAGTCTATTCAGCCCCTCCCTATAGCTCAAATTCTCCAACCCTGGCAATATCCTTAAATCTTTTCTGAACCCTTTCAAGTTTTAACATCTTTCCTATGGCAAGGAGACCAGATTTGAACACACTATTCCAATAGTGGCCTAACCAATGTCCTGTACAGCTGCAACATGACCTCCCAACTCCCATACTCAATGCACTGACCAACAAAGGCAAGTGTACCAAATGCCGCCTTCACTATCCTGTCTACCTGCAAACTCCACTTTCAAGGAACTATGAACCTGCACTCCAAGATCTTTGTTCAGCAACACTCCCCCGGACCTTGCCATTAAATGTATAAGTCTTGCCCTGATTTACTGTACCAACATGTAGCCCTTCTGATTTATCTAGATTAAACTCCATCTGCCACTCCTTGACCCATCAGCTCAACTGATGAAGGTCCCATTGTACTCTCGGGCAACATTCTTCATTGTCCACTACACCGATTTTGGTGTCATCTGCAAATTTACTAACAATACTTCGTTTAATCGCATCCAAATCATTTGTATAAATGACAAAAAGTGCACCCGGCACCGATCCATGCGGCACACCACCGGTCACAGGCCATCAGTCCGAAAAACAACCCTTCACCATTCTGAGGTGGGCTCGCTGGACCTGAAACAGTAATTCTCATTTCTCTTCACAGATGCTGCCAAACTTGCTGAGCTTTTCCAGCAACTTCTGTTTTTGTTACTTTACCACTACCCTCTGTCTCCTACCTTCGAACCAGTTCTGTTTCCAAATGGCTAGTTCTCTCTGTATTCTGTGATCTAACCTTGTTAACTAGTCTACCATGCAGAACCTTGTCAAAAGCCTTACTGAAGTCCTTGATTTTATTGACTGAAATACAAGTTGGATATTTCCTGCATGCAACTGCTTGTAACAGTTTATAATACAATGGAAAATGATAAAATCAAGGTCTTTTTTTTAAAAAGAAGTTGTGTATATTGTCTGTGGAAAATTCCTAAATCAACAGCATTAAAAGCTACATAAACTATTGTAGACACATAGTAAATCAATCACCTTCTTTAGTTTACTGAAAACAGCAACAGGTAATTTTCCTTACTCATGTTTGATGATAGCAACTTAACCTTAATTTAACCAGTTTATCAGTTGTCAATGGCATTTAACAATTTTTGCTTAAAATATCAGTGGCCTCGCCTTCCTATTTTGTAGAAAACTAGGCTTGCTTATTTTGCACAATTGTCCAAAAAAAAGTTTTAAGTTTTGGCACATAAACCTCCCTATGTATGGACATTATTTAAAGAATGTTAAAACTAACATTATTTGTAAACCCAGCCAGCAGCATATTACTGTACTGTTTGCACCAGCCCTGCAAAAAAAAATGGGATAGCTCAGTTGTGGTAAATCAGCTGACATTGGACTGAAAAATATTTTTAATAATGGACTGGTTTATATTAGAACTTCAGGTACAGCCTTAGATAGTCATAGAGTCCTACAGCTTGGAGAACAGACCTTTTGGCCCAAACTGGTCCGCGCACCCTAACTGCATTTCCCTGCACTTGGCCTATAGCCTTCTAAACGTTTCCTATTCACATATTCGTCCAATTGCCTTTTAAATATTGTTAATGTACTCGCCTCAACCACTTCGGCTGACAGCTCATTCCATATGTGTACCACCCTCTGTGTTTTAAAAAAAATGTTGCCCCTTAGGCTTCCACGTATTCTTTCCCCTCTAAGCTTAAACTGATGCCCTCTGGTCCTCAATTCCCCAACCCTGCGAAAAAGACTTGAGTGCATTCACCCAATTCATGCCTTGCATGATCTTTTACGCTTCTAGAAATATCCCCCATCAGTCTCCTACGCTGTAAAGAAAAAAGTCCTAGCTTGTCCAACCTCTCCCTATAACTCAGTCCCTTGAGTCCTCACAACATCCTTGCCAATTTCTTCTCTGCTGTTTCCAGTTTGATAACATCCTTCCTATAGCAAGGTTACCAAAATTGAACACAATACTCCAAATGTGGCGTCACCAACATCTTGTACAACTGCAACATAACCAACTCAGTTGGGGGTGGGGATATGTGTTCCAAGGACTGAATGTCCTTCTCCTGTACCTTTGTTTAGAAGTACACATGTTGGCTTTTAAATTGAACAGTTATTAACAACTAATAATTAGTATATTAGTTATTGCATAAGTATTCATTTAGAAGTATTTCAAGAAAGCATATATTTAGTGAACAAAGAATGAACTTTGGATCTGCCTGTCAAGCAATGTTGTAGTGCCGTTTTACTTGCTCATAGCAACCTGTTATTGCATTTTGATCACACAGTGATCTGCAATTACAGTTTAAAATTCTCTAGCTTACACAAGGTTGTTTATTGGCAAAAGGGTGCTTTACTTTAGCCATTTTCTTTTCTAATTCTAATGATGTGTAGTATTGTAAATGATTAGAGTGCTACTGCTATATCATATTTTGTGTTGAAGGAGATTGATCAGCATGCAGCTGAACTGGTATAGCCTACAGAATTCTTGCTTTTGAAAATTATTTACTTTCATTGAAAAGTTACAGGTTCTTATTACAGATATTAATGACAGCATGTTCAACTATAAGTTTTGCATTCTAAGCATGTAAAAGTGCAACAAAGTCATCAAACGCCCCTCTTCCCCACTCCAGACAAGTGAATCAAACCAAAAAATACATGTAAAATTTTTCAAAGCAAACTAAAAATCAGACTTTTATATTAATTAACCAATTTCTTCCAACCACAATAGGACCTAACATTTGTGTGCCTTTTTATTAAAGCAAAAGAATTAAATGGATAACTGCTTCTGAAAGACTGTCTCAAGCTTACCTTCTGTATAACCTGGGTGGTAGGGGTAAGGTTGCTTTCTTGTGCAACAATGTATCTGTTTTATGTGCATTTTTTTCTTGTGCACTGTTATGCAAAATGGTTAACATACTAGTGACTTATGTGAAAGATTATAAGGAAGCTTGAACTTTAGTTCTAATTCTTGTTTTAACTTATGGACTGTCTATGCTCTTGCTACTGTGCCCTTTTCCACAAGTTCTTTGTAAATTCCTCCTCTGTTCTTTAAAACCCTGAGTTTGATAAGGTACAAATCAAGATTGTGATGAAATACTGTCCACTAGAGTGCAGTTCCAACAACACCACAATGACCACCTTAAACTTAAACTTCCTCCACCACTGGCACACAAGATAGACTGCAGTAACTCACCAAGGCTTCTTTGGCAGCACCTTTGTAACCACAACCTCAATCACCTTGAAGGACAAGGGCAGCAGATAGATGGGAACACCACCAACTGTAAGTTTTCTTGCAAGTCACATACTATCCCAAAATGGAACTATATTGCTGTGCCTTCATCAGGTCACATGGTAAAACTTCTGGAGAGCTCTCTTTCTATTGGTACCATGGCAGTACCAGCACCACATGGACTACTGTCGTTCAAGAAGGCAGCTCACCATCACCTTCTGTGGGGCCATGATGTGGAGGTGCCGGCGTTGGACTGGGATGGATAAGGTCAGAAATCACATGACACCAGATTATAGTCCAACAGGTTTATTTGAAAACACAAGCTTTGGGAGCGTAGCCCCTTCATCAGGTGAAGTGAGAAAGAAGCACACAGAACACAGAATTTAGAAGTAAAAAATCAAAGGGTCACACAACTGATGAGGATGTATTAAACAAACCTAAGATGCTATTAAATCTTTAATTTGAACCTTCTAACTGATTAACTAATAGGTATATGTCAATCGCCGAATTCCTTTCAAGCCACTGCCCTGCGAGAATTAAAAGTTTTATCAGCGTAAAGAAGAGGTGACATTTTAGATCAGACAATGCACGTTAGGTGTGAGGCCTTGTTTAGATTCTGTTTGTGTTTTCGTTTGGAGTCAGACTGGTTTTATTTCTAAAGTAGGAATTTATGAAATGCCACATTGACTGTCTATAAATTGTGCTTTTTTTTGTCTGCGCAACAGCTAGGAAGGGTAATAAATGTGGCTTAACTAGCACTGCCTACGTCCATGAAAGAATATACTATACAAATAAATGTATTTAATATCAGTAGAAGTTGAACAATCACTGTACATGACTGAAACTGTGGATTACTCCCATCCCCAGATTCTTTATACAATCGTTTTGAAGGTGTAACAGGTAATATCATCCAGTTTCACTAACTGTGATGATATCTAGAGCTGGTTGTTAAAGTCTGCAGTATGGAGAGTACAGTGGAGATTATGATAAATTAAGTCCATTACTGTATATAGTAAAGCAGAGTATGGGAATGTATTTCTGCATAATTTGAAATGAGTCCTTAGGGTTTGATTTTGAAAACTAAATAGTCAGGTCTTCTGCTACGTTTAAAGACCAAATACTAATGGAACGTTTGCTTTCAATAAAAAAGTAGCATTGCATCTTATAGTTATACTAATCTAAGATCTGTCTGTCTAAGTCCATGTGTACTTATTCCTGTTCTTTCCTTTGCCATTCTATATCCTGAATACTGTCATCTGTCCTGTTGTCTCTTTTTCTGGAAATCAGATCAGTACTTCATGGTGGGTCAACTTGTGCTACGTCATCGAACACTCAGCTTGATGGCTCCAGGTAAATATGGCCATTTGTGGTCTCTGTTTTAGGCTCTGATATTAGCCCCTCTCTTTTGCTTCTCAACTTTAGAAATTGTTTGATTGGCACACCGTTAAGCAAGAATACAGTTTATTACTTGCAAGATTATTGTGGTGAGAATTGTAGTCAAAGAATGAAATGTTTAAAATCCAGGTTAATTTGAAGGATGGGGTGACAATCAAGCAGACTGCTTTGTCCTGGATGGTGTCAAACTTCTTGACTGTTGTTGGAGCTGCACTCATCCAGGCAAGTGAGGGTATTTCATCACACTTGTGGCTTCTGGATGGCAGACAGACAGTGGTGGGGGTTGGGGAGGAGCACGTGAGTTACTCAGCAAAGAATTCCTAGCCTCTGAACTGCCCTTGTAGCTGTTCCAGTTCAGTTTCAGGTGAATGGTAACCCCCACAATGTTGATATGGGAGAATTTAGCAATTGTAATGCCATTGAATGTCAAAGTGTGATAGTTAGATTTTCTCTTGTTCGAAATAATAATTGTCTGGCATTCGTGTGGACTGCATGTTATTTATCACTATTAAGCCCAAGCCTGGATATTGTCCAGGTCTTGCTGCAAATTGATATGGACTGCTTCAGTATGTGAGGAGCTGCAGATGGTGCTGACTATCGTGCAGTCACTAACAAACATTCCAACTGCTGACCTTAAGATGAATGGAAGGTGACAATTAAAGATGTTTGGGCCTAGGGTACTACCCAAAGGAACTCCTGCAGTGATGTCCTGAGGCTGAGATTATTGACCTCCAGAAACCAAGCCATCTTCCTTTGTGCCAGGCATGACTCCACCAGCCAGACAAAGTCAAATGCTGCATTGATTTGATTTATTTATTGTCACGTGTACCAAAATACAATGAAAACCTTTGTTTACAAGCGATACAGGCAGATCGTTGTAAGCAAAGGATGTACAAAGGATAAACAGAGGCATACAGGTTACATTGCACAGAGCATGAGCTAGGCAAGATCAATGCTAGCAAAATCACCATTATTCGAAGCTAGAGAGTCTATTCATCGGTCTGATAATGGCCGGGAAGAAGCTGTTCCTGAAACTGCTTGTTGTCAAGGAAACTCATTCTCCCCTCACCTGGAATTCAGCTCTTTTGTCCATATTTGTTCTGCTTTTTGTGCACAGTACATAACCTAGGCAATTTTCTGCATTGTTGGGTAAATGCCAGTGTTTTATCTATACTCAAAACGGTTTAGCTGTGAGTTTGGCTCGTCCTGCAGTAGAAAACAGCAGTGTTCTTCCTGGAATATAATCAGGGACCATGGCCTTTGCAGTATCTAATGTCTTCAGTTGTTTGTTGATATCACATGGAGTGAATTGAATGAAGACTGGCAACTGTAACACTTGAGGACCTCACAATTAAGTTGAAATGGATTATCCATCCAGCGCTTCTGGCTAAAGATAGATGCAAATGTTTTAGCTTTGTCTTTTGCACTAATATGCAGGGTTCGCCATCATTGAGAATGGGGATATTTGTGGGGCTTTCTCCTTCAGTTAAATGTTTGGTTGTCCATCACCACTGATGACTGGAAGTGACTGCGAAGCTTTGTTCTGATCCATTATGGCATCATTTAGCCCTGCGTATTGTATGCTCTTTGGCATGCGAAATGTCCTGTTTGGTTGCTTCACCAGGTTGATACCTCATTTTTAGGTATGCCTGGTGCTGCTGCTGGCGTGCTGTCCTGCAGTCTCCATTGAACCAGCATGGACAGTAGTGGTACAGTGGAGGATACTTCAGGCGGAGGTTGCAGACTGTGGTCGAATACAGTCTACTACTGTTGCTGATGACCCACAGCACCTCATGGACATCTAGTTTTGAGTTTGCCCCACTTCACAGCTAGCCAGGCAGGAAGATGTGGGACTTTATTCTCATTCATACTGATACTGTCAAGAACAGATCTATCTGAGACAGGTAGATTGGGCGGACTGGGACAAAGATTTTTTCCCTTTTGTTGACAGGGCAGGGAATGGTAGGAGATAGTCTGTGGGAGGTTTCCTTGTCCATGTTTGAATTGATGCCACAAGACTTCCTGGAATCCAAAGTCAATTTTGAGGACTCCCAGGGCAACCCCTCCATTCTGCTGGGCCTGTCTTGCCAATGGGACAGGACATATCCAGGATTGTGATAGCAGTGTCCAGTACATTGTCTATAAGGTATGAATCTGGGAGTATGGTTCTGTGAAGTAGTCACTTGACTAGTCTGTGGAGTAGTTGTGCCAATTTTTAGTACAAGTCCCCAGGTGTTACTAAGGATAACTTCTCAGGATCAATAAGCCTGTGCTTCCGGCTTTCATTTCTCGTGCCTAGATTAGTGCCTAACAGTCCATCCTCTTTCTTTTCTTTCCTTTTGACTTTGAAGCAAATTAATAAAACTGAGTGGCTTGCTAAACAATTTCTGAGGGCAGTTAAGGTTAGCCACATTATAGTGGGTGTGGAGTCACATGCAGACCAGACCATGTATGGAAGGCAAATTTGCTTCCTTAAGTGGCATTTGTGAACCAGATATTTTCATAACAATCGATTAGATGAGCTTTTAATTCCATAATTTTTCTTAATTAAGTTCAGATTGCACCATCTGCCATGGTAGGATTCAAATCCACGTCCCAGAAGATTAGCCTAGTGCTCTGGATTACTATGCCGCTGCTCACCTACATTGGTCCCTATTTTAAATTCAGAACAAAAACAGGGTTTTTGGAAGGTATAAAGTGGGGAAAAAAAATTGAATTCGGATGTGCCTCTTGTTTAGCTCATTGGGAGTCTGAATAATTATGTTTGTAATGTGAGATTACAGTCTTGATTTTGGTAGGGTGAGGGCTAGTGTGGATTAAGCATAGATGGGACATGTGACTCTTAACTGTATGATTTTCATAGGAACCGCAATAGTCATTTTTTTACCATAGTTTTACGTTAGTTTCCACAATAAATCTGGTACAGAGGTCGATTTACTATATGTGTTTACTTGATTTTCGTTTAATTGCACAATTTACTTAGTTCACCTTTGTTTCTTGGATTTGCTTTGGATTTTTCAGTTTCCAATATATACAGGGTGACATCTCCAGTGAAGAGAAAATAAACCTTTTGCCACACAATAAGTTTAACTTGCTTTCTAAAGCTGATTTTTTTAAACATTTAGACTGAGGCTTTTGCAGTACCTGCTAAATGGCAGTTCCTTTGTTAGCCTGTTAATAGAAAAATTAAACCCTGCAGTTGTTTATTATTTAACTATTACAGCAGAATTCCTTTATTAACAACTTTTCTTCATTTAACTACTTAATGTTTGAAGTGAACATATCAATAATAGAGTTGGAATCATTGAAATATAACCCATGCTGTCAGTTCTTAGCTCTTAGCTATTCAACTGTGATAAGTAATCCTAGATACACAGTAACTGCAGAGAAATGAAACTAGTAATTCATTAACGTCTCCTTTAACTTAGTGCAACAATGATAAAGTTGAACAAAATGAATTGTTTGTTGACTTTTATGTACAGAAAATAATCTCATCTTGTCTTTCTTCCTAGGTATAGCATTTCAAATTGTGATTCTGCAGTGGAGGGAACACCAGATGACTTGGCTGTAGTGGATTCTGTTTCCTTACGAAGACAGGTACTACATTAATTTTTGAGCACTCTCACTAACGTTTTTGCACAATTATGGTCATCTTATGCAATTCTGGTAAGTAAACCAACGAACATTATTCGCAAGTTTTTGGTGCATGATGTTTGTTTTCCATTTTGTCTGAGAATAATGTGGAATGCAAGCAAGATGATGAAATAGTGCACTTAGTATGACACTTCCTATTCCTTCTCACCAGAAAAGAACATCTTCCAGGCACAGAAATGCAATGCACTCAAATGATACTTGCACTCTGTAGCATCATTTTTCAAATTGGATTGAACACAAATGGTTAAATGCTTCTCTTTAAATGTGACATTTATTTTCTCTTGCTGTCAGATAATTAAGCTCAACCGTAGACTCCAGCTCCTGGAGGAAGAAAACAGAGAGCGCACCCGACGGGAAATCATCATTTACTCAATAACAGTAGGGTTCTGGTTGATCAATAGCTGGCTTTGGCTGCGGCGCTGAATAGGCATTGTATGAATTGGATCGTGTGCTAACCGAAGTAAAGGTCTTTTCAAAAACAGCTGGTGACATGAAGGGCCAGGGATATTTTTATTGCTTCTCCTGTACCATGCAGACTTCCTTGAGGTCCATACACAGATTGCTGACTCCATACAACACAGGAAAAGGAATCATGGGGAGAAAGGGATGTTTTGTTGCTTCAATTTAAAATATTTATTGCATCACTTCATAAAGCATTTGTTGACTCATTTTGCATGCCTGTGATTAGGGGATATGTAGTTTTCAGGACTTTAAAATATGTCATTGAATCCAATGTGCATGTGACTGTACGGGACCAGTACAGAAGATGTCATGGAACAGAACAGAGAATAAAGCTAACAAGCTGGTTTTTTTAATTTATGACTTGCCGGATCGGTAGGACTACATATAAAAGATTTTGCAAGAGTTTTATTTGAAGTGATGTGCATATACATATTGTGCTTGTATTCCATTGTCACATAAAGATGAATTTCTGGTTATAGGGCCTTATGTTTTCTGTTTTTGCACTGATTTTGAAAGGAATACTGTGGAGTACGACAATAAACCTTTATATTTTTATGTATGTGTCAAAAATATATCCTGTTTTCATTGACTTTTATTTTTAATCTTCATGTCAACCTACGCTCTCGTACAGACGTATGTATTTAGTTGTGCTACTGAAAGAAATTTGAAGCCAGGGTTATGGGTGGGTGGGGAGTTTGGTGATGATCAAGTCAATCCCATTCATTTAACCATCCATCCTCTGAACTTGTGAGCAGATCTATTCTGTTAGTACTGCTCTGCGGTAAAATTTCCCCAAAACTGTTTTGTAAATATGTGTGGAGGGCCTGGGATATTTTGGGGGAGGGGAAGGTATGTTTTCCTTGAATGCCAGAAGAGTAAGCGTCACTGTGTCACCTGAACTTAACGTATTCTGTTGATGTTTGGATCAGACAAATGTTTAGTGTAATAATTTCAACTAAATGATATCTTTTAGTATATTGTATACTTTGTACTTGACCTGCAGATGCACAAATTTAAAAATTGACCTTGGTAAAAGACATTTATCACAGAAGCATCAATGCAAACATAACAGAGAAGGAAATGTACTTCTGGGTTTACACTGTGCAAATCTTTTAAACGTGGCAAACGTTTCTTCGATTTGACCTTTTATGTGAAGCAAGCTTGCGCAAGATTATCAGACGTACAACTACATATGTAAATATAGTTGATTATATACAAGATCGCAATAAATAAAATGAAATCTGAATATTGTGTTTTTATTTACATCTAGCAATTGTGCTACCTTTTTGTGTGATTCATTATTTATCTTGTAGATTGTAGATAGAAGGGGAGCTGGTAGAATCACTAGACTGAGTAATCCAGATGCCTGAACTAGTCATTTCAACAACCTGAATTTTGTTGCTTAAATGCCCATTTTAGAATTTAAATTCTGTATTTTCAGTTTTAAAATGAAAAATACTGGAGGCAGTTAGCAACAAAGGTCATTACAAAGCTAATAAAAGCAAATTACTGCGGAAGCTGGAAATCAAACGAGAACAGCAAATATTGGAGAAGCCAAACAGGTATGTAGCATCTGTGGAGAGACAAACATAGTAGAAGAGTAATTTGACTCAACATTAACTCTGTTCCTCTCGCAGCAGATATTGCCAAACCCTACTTAGTTTCGCCAATTTTTACTGTTTTTATTTCATTACAAAGCTTCCCAATTGTCATATCCTGACCGTTCTTCAGAAAAGGAAATTTGCTGTCTCTACCTAGTTTGTACTCTCTCTGCAACCTACAAGCCCTTCACCCTCTGAAATCTTTGCACTTTTCCATTCCATCTCTTACACAGTGCAGCCAAGCCTTCAGGCATTCTAGGCCCTTAGGTCCGGAATTCCCTCACACAACCTCAGCCATATTACACCTTTCTCTTAAGATGCAGATCAAAACATGCCTCTTTAACCAAGTTTTTCATCACTTGTCCTTCTACCTTGTAAATAGCACATATTTTCAGCCCATGGTACAAAAATAAAAAGGAGGCAAACGGACAATGCTTTTAAAATGGGAGAATGTGCAAGGAGCCATTTACAACTTCCAAAAATAGATGAAGCTAACTGACGAATATGAGACAATGTTACTTTTTGGGGATGTTGGTCCAGCCAAATTGACACCATCTATTGTAGATTCATAACAGCTCAGCATAATAACAACCCTCAAATTGATCTGGCTGCAACTGAACACAGACCTTCAAGGCAAATGCAAAGAAAAGCAAGGAGTAACTCCTGGAAACTATCTGCATCAACATCTTTCTCCGTTAGGTTGTTCTCCCCAATTCTCTCAAAACAGCAGGAAAACTACAATCTGAGATACTGAAAGAAATACAATAATTCTAAAAACTAAACGAAAAACCCTGCATCCAACCAATCAATCAGTGAACTAAAGACTTATAATTGTGCAGGAATATTGTGGCATCATCAAAGGATTGATACACCAATCGATCCAGTTTTGTAATCTGGACTAGTGTTACAGCATTGTTTCCCCTGACATTTTTTTTCTCTACTTTTAATGTGTGTCTTGTCTATTTCTCTTTGTGGTGGGTAGATTTTAAAAGGGGCTTACCCTTGGTTAAAAAAATCAATTTGGTTACAATAAATAATGTTCTTATTAATGACAAAAGCCTGTTGTGTATTTCTCATAATCTGAAACAGTTAGTTAGATTGGTCACTTTGGATGTTTAGTTATTTTTTCACACTTGCAGCAATTCCAGGAACATTGGAGCTTGACATTGGCACACTCACCCGAGTTGTGATGTTATCAGTATCACTTTTTTGTTTTTGATATTACTGTATGTGACATTTGTCATAAATGTAGCTAAATCAATTACCTTCTGAAGTAGCCTAGCAGACCATTCATTTAACCCAGAATTTGTTTAATATTTTAATCTCTGAAGTGTTTTTCTTTGGTTCAACAAGGATCCTGCTTAGCACTCTTCTGCCTGTGTTGTAATTCCATAATTAGGATCTAAAGTCTTTAATTCCACTTGAATTTAGAATAAATGGATTATGGTGAAGAATAGGTGGTCACACATTAAAACCCTTACTTGTTTTTTCTTGTTTGAATTCTGTGTAGTTGGAGATTTTGAAAAATGCTGCTGTATGGGGAGGCAATGGGGTATTATCACTGGACTGTTAATCCAGAGACCTGGGTTCAAATCCTGCCATGGCAGATGGTGGAATTTGAATTCAATAAATGTCAAGAGTCTAATGATGACTGTGAATCTACTGCAGGTTGTCGGGAAAAACCCATCTGGTTCACTCATGTCCTTCAGGGAAGGGAACTACCATCCTTACCTGGTCCAGACCCATAGCAATGTGGTTGACTTATAACTGCCTTCTGGGCAATAAATGCTGCCCTAGCCAGCGACGCCCTCATCCTGTGAATGAATAATAAAATTCAATTCAAAGGAAGGTTGTTGAAAATTCACAACCTGTGAATAATTCCGTCTTATTGGTGAATAAATCCTATAATACCAAGATTATCTATCGTTAGTCTCAGCTGCATTTAAATTAAATGATGTTCCACGTGCACATCCATATTTCCCAATAAAACAGAAGCTTGAACACTCGACCTTTCCTTGTTAAATGCTGAATGGTCTAGTACTCCCATCTATTTTGTGATGATATTCTCCAGGAAGATATCCCAAACCTTTAAATACAGTGTTGTACCGTTCTAGGATCTGTTCCGCAGTCAATGGTTCAATGTGCTGCAAATACTTGCACATTTGTTTTGGCATATTGAGGGTTACCAGTCCAAGCTACAGACTTGTTCTTGTGCCCATGAAGTTCTAAGACCAAAATTCACAAACAGCATTGCCTATGTAGACCCATTGTTTCTGCCCCCTAGAACTCATCTCTTCCTGTTCAAGTTTAATCAAAGTCCACCTTAAACAGTTGAGGAAATAAATCAACATTTTGGGTATTACCCTTTTTCAGCACTGGATGTGGGGGTATGGGGAGCTGCAGATAAAGGGCAGGGAGGGGTAGTGGAATGGTGGTGATAGGTAGGCAGCACTAGTAGGTATGGGGTTGTACCTACTACCAGTGCCCACCTATCACCACCAGACCGCTACTCCCCTCACCCCACTCTATGCAGCTTCCCCCTAACCCCACATCCAGTCCTAAAAAAGGGGTAATACCCAAAACATTGACTTCTCCTTTCCTCCAGATGCTGCCTGGCTTGCTGTGTTCATCCAGCCTCCTGTTTGTCTACATTGGATTCCAGCATCTGCAGTGTTATGGTCTCTTTAAAAAAAAAAGTTCTCTGTCAAACTTCCAGTAATTCCTTTGGCTGTGTTCACTTTTGCCTGCTAAGTTCTATGAAGCATCTTGATTTTTTTTTTTCTCCCCTCGCTCAAGAGACATTGCTTTTGCTGCTTGAGGTATCTAGATTCAGGGGACACATTCTAAGGATTGGGTGTGATCATTTAGGACTGAGATCAGTGGAAATGTATTCACTCAACAGGTTGTGAATTTTCAACAAGCTTCCTTTGAATTGAGAATTTTTATGTCTTTATCTCAGACTTGCAAATATTGAAAAGATCATTGGACCCTTGGGGTTTAATAGGTTGTATAGTCACTCGTTGCATTTCTAATGCTCTGATATTCTTATGGATGTTCTTCTAGACATTTTGCAGCTATAAGCTTTTTCGACATTTCTAGTCGTTTCAATTAGTAATTAATGCAAGCAATTTTAGAAACCTCTGGATTGAAAGGGTAAACAAATTAAATGCCTCTATTCTAGAGGGTCTTCATTGCTCTTCAATATACAGTACATTCTCTCTACAAAGAAGCTTCTTGATCTACTGGCCATTTAATGAGACTGTTCTGTTTAGTGATGGTCTCAATCTGAATTGTGGTGTTTTTGCCTGAATGCTGTGATTATTCAACAGCAACTGAAGATTCGAACTTGCACATCTTTGCTTTACTTTCCCCCACAGACCTAATCAGTCCGACTGCGCAAGCACTTTCAGATAACAAGGTGTGGAGCTGGAGGAACACAGCAGGCCATGCAGCATCAGAGCAGCAGGAAAGCTGATGTTTCGGGTCGGGACCCTTCTTCAGAAATGGGGGAGGGCAAGGGGCTCTGAAATAAATAGAGGGAGGGAACGGTGATAGCAGGTATGTATATGGAGCAGATAGGTGGGAGAGAAGATGGACAGGTCAAGGAGGCAGGGATGAAGCTAGTAAAGGTGAGTGTAGGTAGGTAGTGAGGAGGGGTTTGGTCAGTGAGGAGGGAGGGGCGGATAGGTGGAAGAGAAGACAGACAGGTCAAGGAGGTAGGGATGAGGGGGGAGCTGGTCTTGGGATGAGGTCGGGGGGAGGAGATTTTGAAACTAGCGAAGTCCACGTTGAGACCATTGGGTTGTAGACTTCCAAGGCGGAATACGAGGTGCTGTTCCTCTAGTTTCCGGGTGGCATTGTTGCGACACTGGAGGAAGCCCAGGATGGACATGTTGTCCAGGGAGTGGGACGGGGAGTTGTTGTCGTTTGTCGCGAACCGAGCGTAGTGCTCCACAAAGTGATCTCGGAGTCTCTGCTTGGTCTCCCCGTTGTAGAGGAGGCCATATCGGGAATAGCGGATACAATAGACCACATTAGCGGATGTGCAGGTGAACATCTGTTTAATGTGGAAGGTTTTCTTAGGCCCTGGGATGGAGGTGAGGGGGAGGTGTAGGGGCAGGTGAAGCACCTCCTGTGGTTGCAGGAAAAGGTGCCGGGGGTGATGGGGTTAGTGGGGAGTGTGGAGCGGACGAGGGAGTCGCAGAGAGAGCGGTCCCTCTGGAAGGTAGGTAAGGGTGGGGAGGGAAATATATCCTTCGTAGTGGGGTCAGATTGCAGGTGGCGGAAGTGCCGGAGAATGATGCGTTAAATCCGGAGGTTAATGGGGTGATACGTGAGGACAAGGGGAATTCTGTCTTTGTTTTTATTGCGGGCAGGGGGTGCGAGGGCTGAGATTTGGTCGAGGACGTTTTCAACCACGGGGTGGGGGGGTGGGGGTTGGTTGCAGTCCTTGAAAAACAAGGACATCTGAGATGTCCAGGAGTGGAATGCCTCATCTTGGGGCAGATACGGCGCAGATGGAGCAATTCGGAATAGGGGATTGCATTCTTGCAGGAAAGTGGGTGAGAGGAGGTGTAGTCCAGGTGGCTGTGGGATCAGTGGGCTAGAAATAGATATCAGTTTTGAGGTGGTTACCAGTGATGCA